AGATTGTACAAAGATTACCGATTAAATAGAAATCCTTAGTGGGGTGCGAAACAAACTAGCGAAGGTTTTCATTATATTTTATAAGGGATATTTTCATTTTCCATATGCTGTGTTTAAAAGTTTACCTCTGAAAAAATGCAGAGCTGATTTAAAGGACAGTTTAAGAAATAAAGGATAAAAAGCGTCCTTTATTTTGAAAAAAAATTATAAGAACACGGGGTTAAAATAAAGGACTGTCCTTTAGAATAAAGGACGGATGGTCACCGTAAGTATAACGGTATACTTATTATTTGGGGAAACAAGAATTATCAAAGAAAGTTCTTTGATAATACTTTATCAATTGAAGGAGAGCTTCACAGTATGAGGTGAAAATAAGTACTTTTTAATAGGGCTGCCGCCCGCTTAAAATTTTTGGGACTGAAATATATATCTACTAAATTACGCAAGGAATTAAGAGCATTTAAATGCGCTCTTACAAGACTATTCTGCAATGGTAATATAAATTTTGTAACCAGTAATTAAAGTGTTTGTCAATTTTTAAACCTTTTTCGCATTCTGTGCTCTCTTGTAACCGGTAAATTTGGTTACCATCTCATAAGCTGGTAACAAAATAATGCCTCGTGAAATATGTAATACAGGAATTTCCACAAATCTTCATAGCTGAATCGCTGAATATTTTCACTGCATTACCAACGTACCTAGAACCGCGGTGATAAGAAGCGGTAACATTTTTTAGTAATACAATTTTCTGGTCACAAAATTTCGGTAACGTGCAGAATAGACCTATTAACCAGAACTAATAATTTTGATGAGGGTTGCCAATTATTTAAAAGCTTATATCTACAGTGATGAGCAAAACTGTAATATGGTGTAACACTTTTTACTTCAGCCACCGCTATATTTCCAAGTTCTAACGACTTTCATCCTTTTGTTGTATATTCTTGTTAGAACACCCCTACTCCTTCTATCATAACGATTTGAAGTCAATACAACAACAATAAAAAGCAAAAATTTAAACTAAGGCAAATGTTACAGCTTTGCACTCACTGCATTACCAACGTACCTAGAATCGCGGTGACAAGAAGTCGTAAAATTTTTTAGTAATAAAATTTTCCCGTCACAAAATCTTCGGTAACGTGCAGAATAGACCTGTTAACCAGAAGTAATAATTTTGATGAGGGTTGCCAATTAATAAAAAATTTATATCTATGTATGTATTTGTATAAAACAAAGTTGTTTAGGTAATACCGAGCATAGCTCTAGAATGTCCCATGTGTCTTTTTGTTGTTTGTCTCTTACCAAGGAAAACTGAAATTTTTTTTTGATTTGAAAATTAAGGAAAAATTGGTTTTGTATAGATTTTGTACTTGAAACTTTTTTATTTCCTTCATTTTGGACGTAATACAAATTACAATCGAAATGTTTCAATGCTAAACAATTATGTTGGTTAGATTAGGTTAGATTGCGTTGGTCTCATTTACAGGTGGCGGATTTGACAAAATGTATGGTGGAATTTTGTATAAAAAATAAAAAATAAGCCGTATTATGAGTCTCATTTTCAATTTTGCACAGCTTAGGCAAAGAACATAGTGACGCGACAAAGAGAGCGACAAGACATTTTCCGATAATAGCGAAGAAAGAGACAAGAAGCGTCAAAACATAGCGAAGCAACCATCAGCTCAGAAAGCAACAAACAAAAAAAAAGCTGAAAACAAATTTTAAGCGCTAACGTTCTTTGGTATTATGGAAGATATGGCGCTTTTTTTGTGCGTAGTTCTGCATAAACAGCAAGTGCCTGGCATTTTTTATGGAATTTTTTCTTTGTTTCTCTTTATTTTCTAAAACAAATTATTTTTGGAATTATAATAAAAAATTTAATTTAAAATATATTTATAA